TGGAAGAAAGTGAGGAAAACAGAAGTAGATAACTCAATGAATGACATACTAGTTGAGAAGAGCAGTGTTTAGAGTTGTGAAAGGGTCAGTACATGGGACGCAGTCACCCTCTAAGGATAGAAGACTTGGATATGATCTTCTCAATGAAGTATATGTGCCACAGTCACCTTGTAAGGATAGAAGACTTTGATATGATCTTCTCAATGAAGTATATTAAAATTTTGAAGAACACACAAAAAAAAATGATGATTTTTATAACCTGACAAAAAAGCTAGTTGACTTAATCAGTACAGTTTGTGACTTCAGATATGAAGATTATTACATCCTGACCCAAATTCTTGCGGCACAGTTGATGGTGAACAGGTGTTATTGTGATAACAGTCTGTAACGCACACCATAAGGTCATTCAGAAAAAAAAAATTTACAAGAACTTCTATTGTATATATGAAGTATAGTTGTCATTTCACATAGTATATTTGGGTGTCATGGGACCAGATGTAAGGAAATAGCTTTCCAAATTTTACTTAAATCTAGATGCACAGCTATAGAAAAATAGATATCTATTGTTATAAACCTGGTGGTGGCACAGATGGGGGTAGTGGTGTGAGTGTAGTCAGCCGACGCAAATCGCCCCAGGCCAGCGCTAGACGAGCGGTCAACCGTGACAAGTTACGACGGTTGGCCAAGACGAGTGTCAACATGATGGTTCGGGAAGGATCGACATCGTGAACAGAGCTCAGTAGCGTCACGAAAGTTGTAGTCATCTGACCACCTAGAAACGTCGAGCAGCGTTCTGTCCGGTTCTAGGCCAGTAGGGACCCTATATAAAGAGCGGAGGTGTCACAGTCAAGACAGTACATGACAGGTTCACGACAGGGCTCAGAACATGGTCGACTACAGCACAGTTCAACGGTGTGGTTCTGTACGGAGCATTACGATGGCTCAGTGCGGAATACTGTCAAGTACATTTGAGACGACTGGCGTCTTGATCTTGGTCTGCGATCGAGTCCGACACAACGAGCCTAGTGTGTGAAGTCAGTCCTGGACTGTTGAACCCAGTGCAAGCCCGGAACGAGACAGAGAGGCCAGTGCAAGAGTTGATACGGCGGAGAGATATTTGTACAGTCTTGTGTTACGTGCTGCCAATTGTACAGTAATGGCTGTTATTTATTCAACTATTAAAGTGTTACGATACTTTGGAGCCCTGAGTTGTCAAGTTCTTTAAGTTGGTGGTGTATGGTGCAGTTTGCAGAGAGCCTGGATAGTGAGATTCGTAACACTGTATTAGTGGTATGTGTGTTGTTTTGTGTGTGTCTAATCACCTTATGTCATTGTTCTCATTTCTTCTCAGTGCTTTGAAAAATATCATCACTGCTATATTGTGTTACCTGGAGAACCTGTACACCTTCTTCTTGCTAACTGCACAACTAAGCTAGATGGAGGATTCAGAACCATTCTGCAAAGAAATGTGAGATCATTGTTAGCTACACTCATCTGAAAGTGGAAACTTTTTTTTTCTAAAACTTGTTACCTGTTTAACACAAAATATTCCTGATAGAGATGACATAAAGGTAAACATTGTATTAAGCTGTTCTGGTTTTAAATATTATGTAGGTGTTGCTATCAATCACTTATATTTCATTCAGTATTTTCTCCTACTTATAACTAATAGTTTGGGCATAAAAAATGTTGAAAATACTGGTCACATTAAGTTCAATCGAGGAGAGTGGTGGGGGTGGGATTAGTTTTTCTGTAATACGTTGTTCTATCTGGTTAACAGGGTTCAGGTGACTTAGTTTTAACACATTATTTTATTAAAGTGCTTGAACTGCGTTGCAGATGCTTGATCTAATGTTTAGCAGCCCAAGCTCTGAGTGCTGTGACTTGATCAAGAAGAGTTAGATGCCAAAGAATTAGATTGTGATTTTTTTAAAGTGTACAAAGGATTCACCGCAATATTTTATTATAACCTCATAAATTTAATTTTTTTAATTCACTTTTTTTTTTTTAGTATTGTACCCTTTGATAAAGTTTTAGTTTGACTTACAGGATTTTTTAAAATAGTCTCTTATAATGAACAAATGAATTATATTTCTGGAGATCACAACTTGTTTTTTTTTTCTTATTTAGCATTTTTCTTTCTTTTCATTTAATTTTTCTTTTTACTAATATGCATATCAGATCTTTTGAATATTTAAAGTCCCTAGATATCAGTATTAAATGAACTTTATACATAACAGACAAAATGTGTGAAACTTTGTTCAGAGTTATTTTATGTGACCTTGACAAAAAAGACTGGCAAGTCCTATTCTTGTGTACCAGGTAAATGTAAAATCTTTGAACATAAAAAAAAAACAACTAATCTTAGGAATTTTTAAAACAACAGTAACGGTAGTTAAGTTAATAAATTAATTTAGAAATTGCATACAACGAAACATCTGATCAACAATTCCTTACTACTATTTCTGTTTCTTTTTATTTCATATGAACCACGATGCATTACTTTGAAGTTAAATCTGTATTTTATAAAATAAGAAGATAAATTAAAATTAGACTGCCATTATTTTAGTGTACAATAGAAATATGTCTCCATAAGCTTATTGGTTAAAAGGGATTAACAACATTATCTGACTTGTAACTGCAGATAGTATCTAGCTGGGAATAGCCTTATTTTAAATACAAATGTTTGTTTGAAATGTGAACAATGTAAATTATTGCTTGCTTCAGACATTGTCTATCACATTTGTGATCAATGAAATAAAATGAATAATAAATATGAAATTGGTCTTTTTTATTAGTTAAGGGAACACTTTGATTTACTTTTAAATTTGTTTTGTTTCACCATTTATTTCTTTTTCTTTTTATTGCACCCAGTGTTGTTTTTTTATACAATTTCGCTTATCTGCTTGCAAATTCTTCATGGGGTGAAACAAAACTCTGGGTGGACAAGGATCTCAAAAACAGCTCTAACAATTTTCCTAGAAATTTGACAGTTTATGTATATCTTTGGGGAAAACAAATTACTAGCTGATTGGCCAAAAATGAAAAAACTCTGATTTGACCATAATGATTTTTAAAAATATAATATTCTTTAAATTTGCTCTGAAGGTTTAGACATAAACCTGTCTAGACAAGTGTCTTTTAATGTTTCTTAGTCTAGGCCATGGCATAAAAAAATCTAATAGTAGGTATATGAGAAATGGTTCAAATGGGAAGAATCCTATCTATCGCCTAGAGTGATACAACCCATGCTGGAGGCTAAATGCAGGCTAGTCATTCATACAACTAGAACAGGACACTGCCTTATAACTATGATTCCTGTTGCCAATGTGGAGAGTCAATTGTCTTGTGTCACCAGAGCTAAAGGTTATGTATCTGCAGTGTCACAACCTGTATGGAAGCTATGAGTCGCCAAACTGCAGAGTTTCTTGTCAAAGAGATGTGTACATTCCTGTCCTAAAACCAATCAAATATCATCAGGTTTCTAAATGTTTAGCTCAACCAACATAAGTGTGACAGTAGATTACAAAAGAAAAGTCCTTCTGACATGAATGTCTATTGTGACCTACTATTGTAGTAAAACAGTGTATATAGAATAAAATGTACCTTTAATTATAAAATAAACAAAAAGTGATCAGGAAATGTTCACGTGTTGATATCAGAAATCTCATGAACTAAATATTCTAATAACAACAATCCTGTCTTCCTTCCATTCCTATTGTACATTCAAGCATGACTGCCATTATTTTTTAATTGTCTGCATAATTCCCAATGAACCTACATAAGTTCAATGTATTCTGGTTGAACACAAAGAAATAGCCAATCTTTTTGTTGGCCTCCTTCAGTCCTAAAGACATTGGTTCATCTTGTAGAACACGTTTAATGTGACTGTGGAGCCCCATTCTCGAGAGACACTTCCGTCCACAAATATCGCAGGTTAAAGTGGCTTTTGATTTGCTTCATCTTTTTACAATACCTCTATTCAAGTCAGAACTTCATGGAACCAACCTGGATGCTGATCTCAAAAATAGCTCTAACGATTTTCCTAGAAATTTAACAGTGGATGCATATTGCTTAGAAAAGAATTACTAGCTCGTTGGCCACCCTCCGTCCATTAAGTTCTGACTTAAGTAGAGGTATTGTTAAAAAATTACCCCGCCCATCATGGAATAAAATACAGGTCATGCGAATGTACAATTCTACTAGTCTTTAGAAAAAATGTTCTTGAATCTAACATTCATTAGTTCTTAGGAAAATGACGAGTTGAATTAAGGAGGCAAGCTTGTTATTTTATGGATTTGCCTCATAGTATTGTATGAAAATCTTTAAAAGTAAAATAGTATTATTTACCCATGAAAATGTTAATGCCAAATATGACTAACATTTAACAGTCTAATGCTTGCTATGCATAACTTTTGTAGATTGAAACTGCTCCAGTCTTTTAATATTGTGCTATGTACTTCCTCTCAGTCTTGAACAAAGTTAACCTAAGAATTAACTGGAATGGATTTTATTAAGGTCATTGCAATATGCTGTATTAAAAAGAAATTTGAATTTTTTTTTGTTCTCTAATGGAAGTAGTCTTTTTTAACGTATGTTTTTAAAATGTTTTGTTGTTAGTACAGATCTATAAGGCTCAAAATCTGTCTTCATTGGGTTTTCATTTTTTTTTTTAGTGCATTTTGATTTTTTTTTTTTTTGACTAAATCTCAGCCTAAATTAATTTACAAAATATATTAACTTTATAAAATGTTTATTTAAACATAATTATTCACCTAGTTAGTCAAGGTTTTCTTGGGCTCTGTAACTACTCTTTAGAACAAATGTAGCTGGACAAAAAGAAAATGATATAACAATTGACTCAATGCCCTTATCACACAGCTTGTTGAGGCAGGGGGGCATCTGTCAATCAATTAATAACCAAATGGCTGGGTTGTTGTTTTTTTGTGATTTTTTAAAAAGCGTTTTACAGTATCAAATAAAGACATTTAAGTCAACAGATTTTGTTGAATACAACATTTATTGAATCATATAACCTTCTCATAACATACACCAGTAAAGGACAACTTCTCTAACAATTTTGGGGTTTCTCTTGTGGGCCAGAACTACTTGCCACAATACACAACTAAACAATAGTGTTTTTACACTTATTAAGAGCTTCTACTCATAGGATAACCCTAGTCACTAGTCTTAGACACCATCCATCATGTGTCTTGATTATTTCATCATCTTTGCTAATACTTTTTGAGGACTTTGTTGACATAGAAAATGTACATTGCAATACTACAGGATGTTTGCAACTAACTCTTCTATTTAGATGACAGTTTCCAGTCATTGTATCATCTCATGACCAGTCTATGAACCCTCCCATTCAAGTCTGAATAAAACTTAGAAAACCCTTAGAATGATTGAATCAAAACACTATTGTTGTAGTATTTAGGAGAAAATTATACACAAGACTAAAAAGTTTAAACAAAGAAAAAAAAATTGACATTATGGAAGAGTTGCATGCTTAATACAAGTGTTCTACACAGAAGGTCATGTAGTTATTTAGAGAGAAAATAAAACACACATAAACTTTCAATGTGAGCTCATGAACCTACTTCATAGTTAGGCTATGTTGATTCTAGAGTACAGCTGTAGGAGCAAACAAAAAAAATATACCGTACAGAAATTGTTGATTTAACTCTATTTTTTTGATAGTATGCTTCTTTGAACAGGTGAGGCAAACAAAAAGTGTTCAGTTGGTTGTAATGAGAACAATTGCCACTACTGCAACAAGTGTTCAGACTGCTTGTGTGAGATACTAGTGTTCTGTTTCAATACAATTGTCTCTACGTCTGATTACACAATAGTGTGTGCTCACTAATTCTTGTAAGGATTGATTTTCATTTTCTATCACATCACATAGGACCACTGGTCAAAGCCAGTCACATGGTCAAAAACAAAATCAAACTTTTTTATGGATTAAAAAAGAAAAGGGATTTACTGATACTGTGGGAGATTTTGAACCTGGGACATTTAGAACTTTTGATGACAGCTGTTAATCAAATGACTGGTTTGTTGGGTCAACTACGTGATGCCAATTGATTCTCTCTAGATATACATGTACCCCGGAGCAAACTGCCAAAAGTTAAACAACATAAATAGTTTGGTCAAACTAAGTGTTATGAAATACACAGGTACAGTAGTCACAACTAATACAACAATCTACTGAGTTTTGCAGTATAGCAACAAGACAAAAAATGTAATATTGTATTTTTTACTTATACATAGGAATAAAACTAGAGATAGTTCAAAGCATATTTTTTTAGTTAATTATTAGAAACAACTTTCCTAACCTCATAATGTTTTTATTAATTTTGATAAGACTTAAAAATGATTAATTGATGACGACATCTGATAATATTGTATAGGCCTAATGGTATGTAAAAACATACTGTATAAATAAAAGTTTTGTCAGAATTATAAATATTTTCTAGGCATCAGAAAATTGAATTATTTGAATTCCGTTAACTAAAAACACTTTCAAATGCAACTACAACCTATGTTTAATATGTTAAAAACATGACATTTGATGACACCCACAGGAGCAGTTGTTTCCAACAAACTCTTAAATCATTGAAAAAGGAAAAAAAAAAATATTGAAATCAAAACTAAAAATATAGACAAACAAAATGGGGGACAGCAATGGTCAGTTAAGCAATCAAAGGAAAGGGTCAATTTTCAGTTGAAATATTTAAAAACAGAAGTGACGGACAGAAGTTACAAACTAGCTGATTTACTTAAGAAATAACACTTCATTAAAAAGTAGCTTAACTGTTAAGCACTAGCAAAGCTTTGTTTCATCAATTAACATTAAAAATAATTCAGACTTAAATCATCTGAGCAAAATGTGTTTTGGAGGGATAACAAAAAAAAATATGTAAGAATGAAATAAATTCTCCTAATGACAGACTTAAAAATTGCTTTCCTTAAAAAGTGCACAATAAAAAAAAAATGTATGCAAGTTTCCAAAGAAAACACTAAACTGTCAAGCTAGAACACACTGAAATGTAGGACACTAAAATATTGAAATCACACAACTACACAGTGAATCAAGTGCACTGTGAGACTGATTTAATCCACTGAACTCTAGGTTTAAATAAGACATCCTTAGATAGCTTTCAAATAATTGTCAAATGCCTAAAATTTTTTTTTTATATTAATTACTGCAATACAAGACGAAAGTTACCAAAAAGTGCTTTCAAAAGGTTTGTTTTTGTTTCAGTTCAAAGGATTAAAAAAGTCAACATTATTATGGATAGAACAGTATTTTGTACTTAGCATATTTCTTGATGCTACTATCCACAAAAATCAAAATGTAGATCCTCCCATTTTAAAAATCTTACTAAGATCAAGAATATGTGGTAGTCTAGGTCATAATGCTGCCACTTGACTGGGTTTTTCTTTAATTCAATGAGATTTATTAGTTCTAGGGTTGTTTTATTTCAGAGGGAGGATCAGTTATTCAGCTAGTAAGTGCTGCTAACTTTTGTTGGCTTGAAATTAAGAGAGTTAGCATAACACTAGTAATTTAATTTTGTTTATTTTATGGCTGAAACCTACATTTTTTAAAATTAGTCAGCATAGTATCCAAAGATAATAATTAGAAATACATCAAATGTTTTTTAAAAAGAAAAATCCCCATTTGAATAAATGTGTAAAGTTAGAAAATTGGCTCGCCAACAAATAGTAATTACTTTTTTTTAATTCACTTTAAAAAAAAAAATAATAAATTTTAACAAAAAAAAAAAAAGATCTTCCTTTGTTATCAATTCAAAAAAAAAAAAAAAAAATTCATAAAAAAAAAATGTATTAAGATTTTTTTCATGCATGAAATCATAGTAAAATATTAGTATTTGATATTATTGTCAGTTAAAATCCTGACATGTACCACAATACTACAGACCTCATCAATGATGTATATTTCACAAGATTGTTGTTTAATCTACATTAAATTTATTTCTATAAATAGCAATGTGGTGCGATTCATCCACCCATGTGCCATGTATCTGAGAATATAGGCCCTAACTGTCTACAGATACATATAAACATGAGTATTTGTCTGCTTAACTATTTAGCTCTTATAATAATAGAACTTTTCATTTTATAATTCCTTTTGGGTCTTATTAGCAAGACATTACTCAACCTTTTCAAGTTTCTCCTAAGACTTAAATTAACATAGTAAAGTAGGACATCTCATCCCTATCACCAACTCAGTTCAATGCTCAAAATATATCTCTATAAAATGTTTCAGCTCAAGTGGGCAATAAAAATTAAAAACAGTAACAACACTACACACAAAGATGGCTTCATAGAAAAAAATATCAAATAATATTCATGATTTAATCAAGTTAGGAGAATGTGTTCATCTGTCATTGTAGCAATGAATTTGTTCTAGTAACACAAAGTTACACCCAAATTATGTCGGCAGTTAAATAACACTTGATAGAACAATAGATACAAATGTTTCAGAGATTGCAAACACAGCCAATCATAGCCTAAACAAAGTAGACAACACAACAATAATGTTGACCAAAAAAAAAAAAAAAAAAAGCTACCTCTATCTAATTAGTCTAACACAGTTTTAGTGTCAGCAAAGTCCATGCATTAACTGTATTTTATAACCTTAAAGACATTGTACAAGATTAGACAAAAAAATGTTATAAATCTACAGAAGCTTTTGTTTGTAAAGTGTAGACGTAAGCAACTATTCATTCAAACAATCTCTCACACACACACACGTATAAATACTGGTGGAAAAAAAAATGACTTGAGAGAATGAGTTTGTTTACAATGGCAATGACATTGCTAGTAATACAAAAATACATTGTTCTGACCCTCAGCAACATCAAGCAATGCTACTACTGGGTCACTGGCACAAAGACAGAACAGATGACTGATGAAAAGTATCAATTTTTTTTAAATTTTTTTTTATATGATGTTTTTAAATATAAATTTCTGTACAATATGTGTAATTCAATATACAAACATCAAACTATAAATACAAAATATACAATTCTTACAAACATTATAAAAAAAAATTGATTCCAAATAGCATATCAATAGAATCAATCATCTGAACAAAACAATAATTACTCTAAAAAGTAACAGCTTGGATATTAGTTTGAAATGCTGTCAAGCAGGTGTATGTCTGCTTATTTTCAGAAAATCCTACCTTTACAAAAATATCTAAACAATTTGATAAATACAAAACTACAATACTTTTGTCTTATTTGTTGCTTGTTATTATCAAAGTAGGTAGCAAGTATTACTGGTTAGCCCTTGATGCTAACAGTAGCTGTTCCAATCTCCTCATCCTCATCAGAGGCACCACTATAGCCACCATTTACTTCTTCATCCACCTCATCAAATTCATCACTAGCTTTAGAGCGCATTCTGTAAATAGGAAATACATCACATTATTTGACCAGTTTGAAAACAGGATACTATAAGTATTTATTTTTTTTACACAACAAGCAATGTTTCATTAATCTAACGAAACATACGTGGAAGAGACATCTACAGTGACACCCCTTCCCTTGGGTGTAGCCTTGACAGTTCTGCCTCTGCCTGGTCTGGCAACTATTCTAACAGGGCGCTTTGTAGGAGAACCTCTGCCTCTTGAGTAGTACTAAAAATAACAGAATATTTTAGCTGTTTAAGTATTTTAACATTTCTTTTTAATTACAGAATAAATATTCAGTCCCTGTGTTAACTTAACACATTCAATTCCATAGCGGACATATACTGCCACTATCTAGCTCATCCCATTATGGCCTACAAACTGCAATACTGAAATATATGGACATCAATGGGGGAAATACAAATAATTCAGTTTTGTGATTGGCTTTTAATTTCAACAGTGTCTTTAAAATTGTGGTACTAGGTTATCATGTTTAGATGAAGCTAATAATTTAATTAAGGACTTCAATGATCCAAAATATATAATACGAAATGTTTATCAAGAAAATGAAAGCAGTGATTCAGACTAGATGTAGACCTTAGTATGCATAGTTTTAAGATTGTGTTCAAGTCTTTGTCCAAGACCAAGCTTAAAGCCTATTTTGAAAATTGTAGGTTGAGCACTTTGATATATGTGTACATTAAAGATTTACATTTTAAAAAATATTTTGAAACTTATCTATTCTGATAATATTGCAGCTGGATTTATTATCTTTGGAGCTTCTTTTTTTATTGAATGTTTTATGAACTCTTTTGTATTTCTTGCGTTCTCTCTTTCATTGAGATTTGAGAGGTCTAAGATTTAGAGTGGGCAAGGATGGAGTAGGGAAATATCAGGAAAATATTATAACATTAAAAAAACAACCATAAAGCAGCACCTAACAATTTTAAATAACTTACTGCTGGCCTGTAGGCACCTCTGCTATTGTAGAGTGGTGAAGCAATTCTACCTCTTATCATTCCCTCTCTACCAGGTAAAAAACCACCTCTGCCAGTGAAAATTCCCCTTGAAAAAAAGTTTTTGAAATGTTTTTTTTTTAAATCTTTTTATATCAATATTATTCTAAAATAATTTGTTTCTGCACTTGTTCTAATTATTGAAAGAAAAAAAAAGTATGTACCTTCCTCTCTGACCTACAGACATAACTTGAGTTGGAATCTGATTTCCGCCTCGTCCTCCACGCCTGTTAGACATGTTAGGTCCCCACTGTCCTACTACAACTCCTGCAATCTCTAACTGGCCACCTTGAGCTTCAATGGGTGAACGACCTAAACACGAAATACATAAACACATTCAACATTTACATGGACACAACACAGACATTTTTTTAGTTGGATAAAATAAACATATTTAAATCAATTTAACTTTTATTAAAAGGTAAAACTAACTTCAAAAGAAGGAACATGTTTAGCAATGTATAAATAACCCTTTTTGTATCACTTATACTATTATACTAGAAGTCAAAGCCCTTAAGAAAAATATCTTTGATGTTAATGTCACTTTTTAAAAGTTTGACACTAACACAGCTTGGGAGAGAAGACTTGTTTAGCAAGATCAGATACTCAATTAAACATCATTATCATTTCAGAGGTCCAGACATGTGTCATCATTTCTTGCTAAAAAAAAAAAAATTCACAAATTACTGATTCAACAATGAAAGCACAATAAAATGATTTCAATATAAAAACTTTCATTCTAGTTCCAGATGTGCAAAGGGCTAAGCGCATAGACAAGTTAGACCCATAGCTGTCCAAGCGGCAGGGCACAACAGTCACCACACTGGTCCACACGACCAGGAAACTATTCAAGGTCTATAAATCTAGACCTCTAGATCAAAAGTATTCAAATTAAAGAATCTAGATATTGTATATCTAAAATTATTCAAAACAGCAAAGATCTACATTAAGACTTTTAGACCTAGATCTAGACTTGGACCAATGAGATTGTTTTAAAATAGAACTAGTCAAATATACCGATATCAGATGTAAGCATAGAAAAACAAATCAAGGACTTAGCATTCTTCTATGAAAGGAAAAATAATAAAATCTGGATTTTTCCCCTTCATAAAAGAAATCAGGAAAAAAAAATTGGAGGGGGGATATCAGATTCTTTGTCTGAAAGGAAATGGATAAGAAGAAATTTTTGGAAAATTAACATTAAGCTTTTTTAAAATGACCAAATAGTTAATTGTAAAATGCAGGGCACTAGGTAAAATTTTTTAATTGTTTTCGTCCAGAGAGGCATGTATAAAAAAATGTTTAGCAAGATCAGGAACTCAATAAAACAACATTATAATATCAGAGGTCGAGACATGAGTCATCATTTCTTGCTAAAAAATTACAAATTGAACAATGATAGAATAAAGATTACAACAATATAGAAACTGTTAAAAATTGTGGTCACTTTACTGGTTTTTTTTTATTAGTTTAAAATTTTCTAATGGTTACTAACTATTTTTCGGATTTTTAATTTATACTTACAGTTTAAACTTTAAATATATATACACATATATACAACTAGAAATTAATTTGCTGATGTATACTGTAGTATGTTTAATTATACAATACAACATAGGCAAGTTTAAATCGTAATTTATTACTGCATGTGAACACTGAAATATGTTTTGTATTCTTTAAATCAATAAATTTTTCGTGTAACTTTGAAAGACTAAGTTAATATCTTATTACATCATAAATAGAATTTTCTTGACATTTGGTTTAATTCTTCAAAGTACAGTTAACCTTTGGTAATCTGACATTTTCAGTAATCCAATACTCTTCATGATTATAAAGAGTCAACTAAGGGTCTTAATCATTTTTATAATGCAACTTTAAATTCTGAAACTTCCAGAAAATGTGAATACCCCACTATAATTACAGACAAAATGTTGAACAAGATCAGGAACTCAAATAAAACAACATTAGAATTTCAGAGGTCCAGACATGTGTCATCATTTCTTGTTCAACTGGCCAAATATTTAATTGAAAAATGTAGTTAGGACAATTAAGAAATCAAAACTAGTGTTACAAAATAAATATTTTCTTTTAGGAAAGTATATTTTATACAATCTATCATACTATTTAACTATTCTTTTGTTCTTTAGGGTAAGTTTTCTTAGCATATTCAGACACATTCTAAACACTCCACTGTGTCTAGGAACTAAAAATGTGTCAGTCTGTATTATTGGCACTTAGAAAAAATTCTTTTAATAAGCTATTCTATAAAATCTAGTGATTATATATACAAGTTTCAATTTTCAAAATAATGACATAAATATCTTAAAATGTATCTATTAGTGTTAACTCAACAATTACAATATCTTCAAGTTAGTGATTCAAAGTAATTA